AAATCCGGCATTCTACATCTGCTAACACTGCACCAGTGCCATTAGTTCAAAGTTCAATTCGTACAGCTGCAAGTGAGTTTGGGCAGGTGAAGTCAATGAATGCAAAGCCGTTGTTTATTTGCTTCCACGTAAAGAGCAACCTGCGATGAGGATGAGGCGGAGCCGAGTTGGCAGTGCAGCCGACCTCCTCCCCACTGCCTGTCCACATCAATTGTTGAATCAATTAAAATCCTCTTTTCCTGTGCCTTTTTTTACCATTTCACCAGGCACTGTAATTTTGCGATATCATCTGTAGTGACTGTCGAGCTCCGCATTCGTATCCCGCTAATTGCTGTTACAATCAGGACAACAAATCCATTTGGTTTTTCGTGATATCTGAGGATGGTATAACACCGAGAACAATTGGATTTAATACAAAACTGGAATTGACACTGTTCTGGTCAGCATTGGCATCACTGTGGTAAGATGATGGAGACGAGAACAGACACGTGATCGCGATTTTGCCGAGACCGTCAGCATAGCGATGACGGTTAACGTTGCTGTTGTTACTGCAGCAACGTCATCATCGCTGTGAGTAAAGCTGCTGCAAGGAAGTGGAAACACATCGCACTGCTCAATCGAGCACCCACTTTGGACTCAGTGTCGTCCACTGACATCGACGAATCTGCAGCCACTTCTCTACGTCAGTACACTTGTAATGTATATTCTCTGCTGAATAGTCTTCTTGGTTAGTCTAAAAGCATTCAGGGAGCATGGATCTCTTTACCAATGCACTCGATTCTCGAATGGCAATACCGTCTGCGGTGTCTGTCCAACGTTGCATTTGCATCCTGGTAATCTCTGTCTCAATCATGACAAAATTTACACAAGTGACTTTTAAGATCCATGAGGAATATGTAGCACCGAGCAGGGAGATGAGAGAAAAGAGAATAGAGCAACGCCAATTCGGGCATCATTGAAGCCCTTGAACGCGATAGTTGCGAGAACGAACGTCATTACCACGACAGCGTAGATGGTGACGTGGATCAAGCATTATCGGTCGAGGAACGCAAGCTAAAGGTCACATCACTGGTGGGACCGACATGAAAGAGACGTCATCGCCATTGTTGCTGTGTTTGGTACTGTTGCGAGGAGGCAGAGATGCAGAGACAAGCACAGTACTG